CACATGTCAACCGGCTACAGCAGACAACTGAACCACCCTGTTTTTCCAGACTTTTGGTCACGTCGGCTGTAAGTAACCTGTCAGCTGGTTGAACCGGCGGGTGTCAGCTGCATAATAATCGATTGATCATCATCATATTTAAGTGACCGTCTCTTCAGGGCTCCGGCGAATTTCGCGACGAGATGTTTCAGTGGAGTCCGCCAGGATGGGCTTCAGGGCTTCCACTGCTGCTGATTTGCACTAATGATTTCTTCCGCAGGTGTCGTCTGGTGCTCATCTATTCGCTGATCGTAATGGTAGTACTAATCCTTACTGCATACTGTTAGCGGAGAAAGTCTATGGTAATGCCGTTTACGTTTCCTAGTCGCCCCAGATAGTTGCAGTCCTCAGGTTGAAAGGTCTGCGGTCATACGTTAAGTGAAATTGGTGGACATCAAGCCAGGCAATGACTTTGTGTTCGTTCATAGGTATAAGGATTTCTGGCCGAAATGAAAGTGTATGTTCTGTTTAACAGCATCATGAACAGAATATAGGGGAGCAGTTTAACAAATTCGTTCCCAGAGAGGTAGTGCTGATCGAACTCCTGAAGGGTTATCAGCTGAAAGGTTAAGATCAAGTGGCAGCATAAAATAAGTTGGAATGAAAGAGATAAGTCCTCCATTATAGGAGTGCCGTTTGAGCAGTGTGATAGAGCATGAGTCCATCATATTTCTTCGCATATAATATCGCGCAGCGAAACACTGCCATATACTAGTGACAGTATAGGCAGAATTTATTGTTCATCTTCATATCGAGATAATCTCAAGACTTTCTACTTGGTTTTACGGTCCTAACATTTTCATTTCTTGACGAAAGTACAGAACCGTAGAGCCAAACTAGGAGGCTGCGTGTTTACCTTGATATGGATATGAATAATAAATTCTGCTTCAAATATCGCCAATAAATAATATTGTTTCACTGTGTTATGCATATGGTTAAGGAGCAACGAGAGATAGTGTTGGTTTTCGAGGGGATTCAACCCTCACATTCATTTTGAGGAATCTCTAAACTACTGGGTTTAGTGCATCAAGTGAAAAGCTGCGGTCCTATTTCACGAACGAGTGTGATGCCTCATGATTCCTAGGTATGTCTGATAGTTTACCTTGTCATTCCGGTTTTTGTCACTTATCTGTCCCCACAAGTTTGCCAGTCAGCGGAGCTATTAGTGGCCGTCTATCGATCTCAAGATGACCGTTTGCACCATACAAGCTTATGCGCGCCTGGCAGAAACAGGGAAGAGCACAACTTGTTGGTCCTTCGTGTATTCACAGGAGTGTTGTTCTCTATCGCTTGAAGGATTGTGTCCTTCAACAGTTCCCACCCGGGGTTCGGATCCAATAGGTTATAACAATTTAAGCAGGCGCAGCCCTCTAGATCTCGTCCGACATTTTCAAAATTGGTCTTCCTATTATTCCTGACTAGTGGCTGGTCAAGGGTAGATGACTTAGATATGAAGATATTGAACGAAAATGCGGGTGGTCACTCAGTCCAACAGGGCTCAAAACATTTAAGTTGGTCACAGTGATGAACGGGCTGGTAAAATATATTAAGTGGGGGATGCCTTACCGTCAACCTTTCCCTCAGCAAGTACACCGAGAACCATATTCAGTCCAGGATTTTTAAAGCAATAAGTTGTAAAATTCTTCTGAAGCTGTAGTGATCCTTTGTTGGTGGAGGGTTGGGGGCAGTTAAATTCTGTCACAACTGGGACCTTCGAAAAATTCAAATCGAGACCCCCTCCGATGGGTTGTATCATCGCCTTATTTGACGTAGTGGCGGCTCCAGGAGGGTGGCACGAAATCCCAACCAAACAGGGACCACACCATTTATTGCTGCGCCAGACTACATCTTTGGTGCTAATTTCCTGAGAGGACATCTCGTAGGCTTTCGAGGAAGGGCAGGTGCGAAAAGTAACGCCGCCTCCTGGTCCCTCTGATCTACTCTTTCCGATTAGGTTGATCTCTCCAATATGCATTTCTTCATCTTATCATCTGCTAACCGTGTTTCACAGAAAGCCATCATGCTATCACTGCCCTCAACAACTAACGACCTTAACTCAAGTATCTTAGGAAGTAGGACACGCATATCGCTATAGATACAGAAAAATGAGGGTATCAAGACCGGAAGTCCCAGAAGCTGGTTGAGTCAAGTAGGTTGTATTGGAAGCCAGTGGAGGGCCAACTGTGACGAACTTTCTACTGGTAAGGGAGCGGAACGATGGACAGCTGCGTCCACCAACCTCTTTGACTGATAAGCAGGACGGGGTCATTCTGTCCAGGGCAAGGTAGGCCTGCCTTTGTCCCTTAGGTTTATGCTCTCTGTTATCCATATACCTTGGAAAGGCATCCGATCTATTATACCGTGACTTCAGAGCTATTCCGATCGTGTCTGGAGGATCAACGGTCATTTAGGGCAACATGGGATTACGAATGGTCAGCAAATGAGGCGGCCTTCGAAGACGGTTGATTTTTTCAGCCCGCACACCGGCTTAGAGTTTGTTCACTATATATCTGCAGTGATTTATGTTATGTAGAAGTTCAGTAGTGCCAGAGTCCAAACATTAGAGAGTATCATGCGCGATGACGGAACAGCGCAGTTCTTGGGAGTGAATTTTCCTCTTCTGTGGAGAACCCCCCACTCCCCATTCAAGGGTCTACCAGGCCCAATTCTAACTTCCGGCAGGTTTCTTTTACTAACTGATGACCCTCCAGAAGGATGTGTCCTTGCTGAAGAGTGCTACTGAGAGAGACTCCCAAAGGCCCATGAGAGCCTGTGGAGGAGAACTTACTACGGGCTAGGCGTTGTAGAGATGGATCACAGAGTGAGGCCTTTGACAGTTTGCACACGTCCCTCCATTGAACCAAATCATGCTGCCCAGTGTCAGTCAGTAAGGAAGAGCCACTTTCCTTAAAGCTGAAGAGTGCGGGTGACTGAGGCTGTAATCTAACTTCTAATATGCAGTCCTCCCCGTGAATGAAGACCTAGGTTTGCCCACAGCTTTTCGGGAGCAAACTGCGGGACCTGAGTTGCCAGTTGTGAGAGTTGCCTTCCAGATTGATCAGGGATGGTGATGAAGCGTGGACAGGTTGTGGAATGGGGGGCTTTCAATTCTGCTTTCATTACAGCGAAAAACGAATCCGTCCACTTAGGACTCGGCTTCCTTCTGGGCTGAACAAGAGTAACCAGTGTATCTCCTTCGACTCCTCTAACCGACTCGCATTTCTCGTAGCCATTATTTCAGCGCTTATCGGGTGGGGAGGTCTGCTCCAAGGCTGTGCTGACAGCGAAGCAGTCTCTAAGCGTGGTTATCACCCCCCTACCTCTATTTGTGGCAAGATTCCTGGTACTGGTTATCAAGGGAAAAATACTTGTGCTGTTGCAACCTTCCTTGCTGCTATCTTCAGGGGGTCTTTTAGGGATGATGCAACCTCCTCCGATTGAATTTGGTCCGGGCAGAGACCTCAGTTATGAGGTGATCAGAGTTCCAACTTGTTGATAGCTTGAAATGACCAGAGTCTCTCTATTCGGCAGAAAACTCCATTCCCGTTGGTTTACTTGACTTTTCCAAGGTTTTTGACGGGGTTAGTCACAATTTCCTGTGTAAGAAACTTCTTGTTGTGGGTGTACATGGAAAGTTGCCCAGGTGGCTTAGGGGTTGTCTTTACACTACGATGCAATCAATTACATCTGGCTCCTCTCAATCTAGCTGGTTCCCATGAATGGGTAATGTGTTTCAATGTTCAATCCTGGGCCCACTACTGTTTCTTGTTTTTATCAACGACCTACCAGGGTCCATCATTTCTCATTCACTGCTGAATACAAATGGTTCAAAGATTTGGAGAGGAATACAGGAGCCAATGGTTATCTCGGCTCTCCAGGAGGGCCTTTGCAAAATCCTGGACTGAACTGCAGAAAACCTACCGCACCATAACGGGGAGAGGTGTAGGATAATCACTGTCGAGAAACCTAAGAATAGTTCCAGTTCTTATTCTCTGGATGGATTAAATATCTGTTGCTCGCACACTGAAAAGGTTTGAAAGTCACTTTAGGTGGCATACTTGGACCTTCGGTCTGTTGTCACCTTTCGGCAAGCAAGGCCTGTAGAGTTCTGTGGCTCGTTTTGCTAACTTTAGGGATTCCGACTCCGGCCCTTTTCACCACAGAGTATGGACTTCATATTCATCCTCATCTCGTGGGTGAATCGCTAGTAGTTTCCTCATACTTGAAGAAAAACATAGTCGTTCTAGAACGGGTTCGGAGATGAGTCACGAAGAAAATGATTGGGTATCGGTACAAGCCTGGATCGCCGAGTTGCTCTTAAGCCGCACTCATCACAATACCGGAGGACCAGAGGGGATACGGTAATGATGTGTCAAATTTCCCAGAACCATCCTTCATCTTGGCAGGTTCCGCCAAAGCTCTAACCAGAGGATACCGTAGGTGTTACCTGTCAAGATTAGAGCATAAGACAGCATGTGCAAAGGTCCATGTTTACTGATTCATAGTTAGGGTTTGAAAACTGTGTAGCTCCCCTCCTGCAGACGTTGTTACGGCAGCTTCCACTGATGATTTCAAAAGGCAGTTAGATGCACATTTTGAGCTTTATGGTACCGATGGGCTGTGCTCGAGAAGTCTTTTTCATCTACAGATAAGGAGAAATGACACTGCCTATAGATAAAAAAGTAACTAACAACCGGCCATCCCCGTTTTTAGGATTGCTGGGAACAAAGAGGACAACTGTGACAGTTCCAAGCCAAGAACATGCTGCAGTAAGATAGACGTAAACTCAAGGAAACATGGTTCACTAATTCTACAACACGAGGTTTGAAGTTTGAACCAGGACAAGAATTGTGATTGAAATATACAAAGGATGTTTTCCATTGTCAAAGACACAAAATCCAAAAACATTCATTCGCTATTTGTATAACACTAAGTTAAAGTTTGAATACACTCTGAGCTCAATGTCAAATTTGAGCTCTGTAGGTCACTTGTCTCGCAGTTTGCAGCGGCAGTTTAGTCATTCGGTTGTCACCCCCCTCCGTAGGTATGTTGCACCTGATATCTACGAATATGGCACATTATTTATCCTCCTAAGTGAGTATGCTTGCACCGCTCTAACTGATCTCACGTCGTAACGGGCCGTTTGAATTCAGCTGTAAAAACTTGAAGTGTAAATCATCTAGTTTTGGCGATAAGTTATATGAAAGCATACTGTATGCCCATGGATGCGTGGTCTCTCCTAAATATTTCGAATGTCATGAACTACATAAAAACCCCCTACCTACGTTTTCAGACACAGTTTATAGTACTAGTGGTCCACTTATGGAAGACAGTTAAGCGAAGACATTTTCTGTCCCGTCAACAGCTATTTGAAATGTACTCTAGATTGTTGTAGGTTAGGTAACTAACCCAGAACGACGTTTAGCAGTTAACTTATAAAGCTAACTAAAAATACTTCGTATAAAGTATGTTTTAGATGTGTGCATCAGAATCATATATTCGTTAGGGAATTATGCAGAAACAAATGAAATAAATGTACGAGGCATCAAAGCTTCAAGACTACGAAAAATACTCAGATTAGCCTGTCATGGCTCGACAAAGTGGAAGAGGTGTAAAGAACATCAGCGTTGGGCAATACTCTGTAATTACTTGACCTGGAATTGCAGGACACGTAGAGCAGGATACTTAGTAACCTGTCGCTGAAGCAGATGGGTTTCTAACTTTGATGGTGCCTGAGTCATGCATTAGTTACCCTACTATCAGCTTCATCTCAAATGAAACGTATCCCAACCTTCACTTAAATTCAGAAAGCTGTTTCGTTTCCGAAGCAAGCAAAAGCAGCAGGACCTGATGATTCCCCTGTACAATCTGGTAGTCAAGGATTACTGTTTAAATTAACAGGCACATGTGTATGCGAATCTGAGATAGTCTGGTTCACCGGGCACTATAGTGTTAAAAACGAAAGAGAAGCATTCCTTTGAGAACTAGAGGGCGATCACTCTGAGAAATGTCTTAGGTCCTTGACTGCTCCATTGACTAGTGCCTGATTGTTGTCTTAGAATAAAAAATTTAGAAAACTAAATAAGTTTCAAGTCTCATCGAAAGTGCATTGGTCTGGTGTTCACTACTCAACCTTTTTCAGACCACAGACATACTAACATCCAGCGCCACGTTCCTTAGCTTGAATGCAGCATATGACTCCATCAATCAAGAGGCGTTGCAGTATCTTACTTTGTAGTGAGTATATAGTGCCATTTAACTCACATAACTGTGTAACGGCTCACAGTGAGTTGTCTTTTAAAGTGGTGGTTTCTCATTGAATTGACTGGAAATCAGCTGATGGGCAGAGATCGTAGAACCCTTTTAGCTGAAGATGCTGATATAAAGTTTCTTGAACGTTTTGAGTAAACATCGGAACAATAGGTATGTATTTCGCACCTGTCAAATGTAAAGTGATGCTTCCATATTGGAGTAAAGTTGCGGAGTACTTCCAACACTTCGCATAATAATAAATTTACATCAGCTCTACTGGGTTAAATGTGGTACCGACTCTTTCAATGAACGCTTCCAAATAGAAACTGCATATTCACGGATATATATGCTGCCGGGATTAATGCAGGTTACTGGGTCTGCTGTCATTAACACTGGAAACTGAACTTATTTACTAAAACTCATTTGCTATTTGCTAGCTCACTACCGATTGCCATCCGAAAACGAGTATATTTTACTGTGCCCTCTAGGTGTGATGCATAACTGAAGAAAGTAAGACAGGAAGTTTGTAGGTTTTTAGTCGCATATGTCTTCCTACTACTGCTTACATGTTATGAGACCATCTATTTATCGTCTCAACACTCGCATGCTTTTGTTTACTGTTTTTCTCCACTCCTTTGTATGCTGTTGAAAGTGTGGTAACTTGGATTCATTTTGGCTTGTCTGATGAAACCACTGTGTGAGTAATGTATAGGTTAGGCAAGTGTGCCAAGCAAAAAGGGCAAGTCAGTAGGTGAGCTTGCAAACACCAAGTGTGGTTGCTTGGACACTTGTTTACATATTAATACAGTACCTGTATCGACGCATCATGTTAGGTGAAGTGGAATTAGGTTGCGAAAAGTCATAGTCAGACTAAGGAGTAGCATCAAGACTTCGAATGGTATGTCCCATGTACAGAAGTGATGACTGGCTGGGATCCTCGAACTGATAGAAGACTTAGTCGTAAGGCTCAAAATCGGTCAGGTACAGATGCATACACTTTGTTACCTCCAATGTTCTAGACATTTTCTAGTCCTGATTTATTTATTCTTTCTTTCTTACACTTCTGTTTTTATACTGTACTTCCTCTATTTTTTTCTCTTTTCTCTTGCTACGTGCAGCAGAATAAAATAATGAGCTTCACAAGGTTCTACTTTTGATGGCTTTAATATCTATGCACAGAAAATCAAATTCAAATCACCATCTTATGTGTTTTATCATAGTTCAAATAATGTACAGAACGAGGTCATTGAAAAAGAAGACGTACTATTTTCAATTCTTTGAAAAGCGTACAATATTAAAAAAGTGTCTCAGAATTCACGTGAAATCTTTAGTCACAGCCTATAAACACATCAAAGGTACCTGGAGTAATGTTTTTTTTCTCAACTAGAGACGTCATCGTAAAACGACAATGGTACATAACGATAATATATGGCTTGTCTGGTGACTTTTATCCTTGATTAATTATATTTTGAAAATAAGTGGAATTTCCCATTCCATCAAATATGTGATACATTAAGTAGTCAATCTTCTCGATTGTCACTCGGTTTATATTTTAGAGACAGTCGGGAATCTCACTTCACTTTTATGTATTTCAGGTTTAATCTTAACCAGTAAATTTCCTTATGTGAAGTTGATTTGCTTTCATTTGTAGAACTAAGTTTCGTTTTTTCCTGTTTTATTCAAATCGTTTAATCATACTAACTGCATTTTAACATCTTGTTTGACTTCCATGCAGTAGTAGCTTGGACATGCTACAGGACACACTTTCAATCATATGTATATCTTTTTTCACGGCGTTCTTGGGAGAAGGTACGTTCTTTTAATAAAAAATTCTCCAATAAAATGCTCAATTGCAGGCTTAACATGGCTTTTTGTATACAGAACAGAAAAGTACCAGAAATTAAAAGCTGAAGTAGACAAACAGTCAAAACGCTGTAAGTTCTCTACTCAACCGTTTTATCTAATTTCGAAGTGGAAAAGCAACGTGATGTAACTGAGGCAGCTATAGACCGTACAGCCAAAAAGCGTCTAGGTTGGTTTTCTGTTTACATCTTATTAATGCCCTTCAGAAAAACAAGAAGAGCGATTCAAAAACATCAATCGAGAATTATCTCTGGTAAATAGATTATTAACCTCAATACTAACTTCGTTAAAGGTTAAAATGAAATCCATGTTTGCGATAGGACTTATATTCACCTCATTATTCAATGTTTTTAGTAGCATGTAAGTCAAAACCATTGTGGAAATTAGGATTGTAGTGGATAAAATGGTCATTGGGTAAACCTTAAGCCAGTATGGTAAGACAGACGAATCAAAGTAGAACTTATATGAGTGCACCAGTCACAGTTTCCACACTTGACAAACACACACGAAGAACACGTGGATAGAAAAAGTGATATCCATGTAGACAAAGTTGTGTGAGAGAATAAGCAATTTGGAGATAGAGGTCAGTGCAAATATTCAAGTTTTAGAAGACGTCAAGGAGTGAATACATCTGTGCCATCGTGACTCATTTTCAGCCATGTCACCAAGAGTCCTCAACCACTGGTTCCTATCGTCTTGGGAATAGCAGCTAGACAGTCTACATCTCCCTAAACGGCTCACACGAACAGGTAGGAACTTCATGGGCTGGTGCTACGTCTTGGTCTGACCATCCTGAGTCTTCTGCTAAACTAATCCGGTCTCCCCTAGCATTAAACAAGTTGTCTGTTTTGCTTAGTAGCCTTCGCCTAACCTCAACACTTCTGACACGGTGGTTCCAGCAAACGCAAGCAATACTGCGAAGACTCCTATGATCGAAACCTTGTAACCGCTTCGTGTCTTCTACTTCCAACGGCCATGTCTCATAGCCGTATAACAGGATAGAACGGACTGCAGTGCATTATACTCGTCCTTTGGTAGATAGCCGAATAACTCGCCAGTTCGCGCCATAGATAAAACAAGTTGGCAAATGCTGAACTGGGCTTCTTTATCCAAGTCGAGATTTTGTCAGCAACCAGCCAGTTCAGCGGGCTGATGCAACTCCCCGAGTAAGTGAAGTAGTCGACATATTCCATCACTTCTCTCCCTACCACTAAACTGGGAGTATTCCCATCAGACCAGTCCTGAAGTATCATCTTACATTTGACAGGTGCGAGATGTATGCCAAATATACTCAGATTTCTGCTCAATGAGTTCAGAAGACGCTGCATTTTGTCAGCGTCACCTAGTAGGACAATGTTGTTTGCATACTCCAAATCAACCAGATGTCCTACAAGCAGATCAATCCCTGAGAAGTCAGAGCTGCCATCTAAGGTTACGTCCGTGGGTAATGTCGGTTTAAATGGGATGTAGCAGGTTTGATGACGGCTGTGACAAAATTTTTCTGTCATATCAAGGATGAATAGTGGCTAACAGTGAAATCGAGGACGTGCGTTTTGTCCTATTTGGCTAATGCTCTAGCGTTTGGAACGATAGGTTCCGGTCCCGAGTCTTAGTCGGGACAACATCGCTCACTGAGAGGCAGGTACATCCAGCTGACGAGTCCCGAATAGGACGGGACGTTGGTTGTGAATCCTACTGTTAGCCACCATCCATGTCGAAATTGAAAAGACAGGCATAGGCGCGGGAGCCCGCATGCCAATAGAGACCGATCAATTCGGTCCAATCAGTGACGGGATGATACAAGCACCATCGTATTTTCTGTCAGTCAAAACATTTATTTCCGTCAGAGTTATTACGGCCCACTATAATTATTTCAGTACTTTCTTGTGACATTTATTTTGTTCACAATCGGTCCTATTTGTCTTATTTTGCGAAATGGTTTGAAGATGTAGCTGAGCTGTCATATAATGGATGGATGTGGATGTGTGGATGGCTGTGTCCGAGCTCTCAGTCTTATGTTGAAAATTTAGTGATGACTCGAGAATATTTTTATCCTTTATGTTGACTGCTATTTGTTCTCGCGGTGTTTTACGAAAATGTTTTCCGAGTTTGTTACAATTTCTCCACGGTGTTTCCGTCAAAAGTGAAAATGCAAAAGAGCATTATTCCAACTGATTTTGTTATCAGCCATAAAACTAGTACCAGTGTTTGATGCACTCGTTTATAAACGTAGTTGCTCAGCTCTTTCATTCATGTTATTCATCTGTTCGGAATTCCTTCTCCTAGATTTGACGGGCGTGTTGTAGCTAAATTGCCTTTCGTCCCTTTGTCATGGATCCAAGGATTATCACATCGTAATCTTCCAGGAAACGATTTCACAGACGGTTCTTTTGTCTTCGTGTATATCTTGTGCACTATGTCAATCCGACAGGTAAAATTTTAAAATTAGTTGTTCATGTTTTTGACTAACACTTATTAATCTAGTCTAACACTTTAGATGGATGGCATACATTTTGTATCGGTGCATGTTACCACACTTCGCGTAGAAATAATATGAACTATTCCGCTCTGGCCACGGAACGTGGTCACGGGTTCGATCCCTGGCGGGATCGTGGGTGCGCGCTGCTGAGGAGCCCCATACTAGGACGAAATAGCTGTCCAGTGCTCCCAGGTTTCCTCCGTCCCTCCAACTGATGTCAGTCTACGATAAATAACAACTTGACATATTTTAATTGTCAATAGAAGTGCAGTAGATGTCTTTTTTACATAAAGTATATATTTGCTAGTGTTGCGAATTTCGCTGTTTATAATTCTTCCATTTTAGAGTATTAGTCATATAATTTCGTGGATAACCCTCTTGATTCAAATTCTTAATCAAACAGACAAAGAAACTTATCTAAAGAACGCATTGTGTGTGAAGTAGTGTAGTAAAAGATTCAGGAGTGGAGGGAATTTCTAAACGTGTTCCTCATTAAATTATCTGTTATTCATTCGTTGTTTATTGTCAGTTAACGAGGGACTAAACGATGTCATTGTACGGTTGATAAAAAGATGAATTGAACGTTTGAGGAATATTCGACATTTTTATCCGCAGCAGTTTTTATTTACTGCATCCATCTTGTACAAGTCCAGTTAATCTATGTAGGCAATGTGGTTGATACAGTTGGTCACTAGTGCAACACATGTATAAGTTTCCTTTGCAACATTTTTCATCATTGAGAATGATTAAATGTGATGCTGAAAGTATATCATATGTAATTATTCACTGTATACTTTCAAATATCCTAATTAACTTGCAATGTAACTACTTCCTAACTTGTTTGATAGAACGTTCAAAAAATTCTTGGCTTCGCTCCTTCTCGCTCATTTAATAAACAGTCTACCGGATTTGCTCAAAGTTAGCTGCTGGTCATCAGTGTGGAAAATACATATTCTTTACTTTATGCAATAATAAGTACCCCCATGGAAGTTAATTTTTATGACCTGACTTTATTTTTTGTATTCTGAATGCATTCGAATTAGCCACTAGCATCCAAATATAAAATTCTAATTCACCATATCTTTGTACGTTGTTTTGCTATAAAGTTTGTCACTCTTGAAACATTTTGTTGATACAGTTAAGATATTTCTTACTTGTAACAATATAGTTGGTTACCTTGTTTACAGACTGGGCAGATTAAGGTCGAAGAAAAGAAGAAAACATTCGGCTACCTTGTGCGTAGTCATGTAGTAGGTAATGGGTCACCCACTGTGGGGAAAGTTGGTGATACTAGCTGACTGCCCAGACCTCAGTAAATGGGGCGGTGCTCGAACTCGTAGCCCACTTGTTGAAAGTAAACTGCCTTAGCCAGTGAGCTGTAGATTAACGTGAAAATTTTGCCATTTGGCGCTTGTCTGAGTTGTTCTATTTAGATGAAATGAGAAGTAACCTAACAACGGAAAATATCTGCCTGCGAAAGCTCAAGCGAAGAAAAATATACGAACCTCGAATATTTCTCACCATCTTAAAACCACGAAAAAAAAGTAAAACATAATCAGTGGAAAATGGAGAACTTTGTTCAGACTAGATCTAAGTTGCTGCAATTTGCAGCAGAATTAAAGAGATTTTGTAACAGTCAAGAAGTACGAGGGAACAAACTGATAAGGTGTGGAATAACAGCGATTGAGAATGAATACATTTGCAATTTTATTATTATTATTTGGAACATAGGGATTCAGTAGCACATCTCCAATGCGCTCTATTCTCTGAAATCTTTCGAACCGGGCTCAACGACAGCCCACAAGCTCTCATTCCCTCGCACGATCTCCATGTCACCCACGGACGTCCAACTCGTCGTTTCCCATCTGGGTTCCACTCGAGGGCCTGACGTGTGATGTCCACAGTCGGTCATCTCAGTGTATGCCCAATCCATCTCCACTTCCTTCCAGTGCATATTTGTTGAGCGATAGGTTTTTGGTTGGTTCGTTCCCAGAGTTCCTTGTTGTTTATTCTTACTATTCTGGCCATCTGATCTCAGTAACGAGCTAGCATAACGCGCCAAGTCTCTGAGCCATACAGGAGCACTGACTTGACGTTGGTGTTGAAAATCCAAATCTTGTTCCACATGCTGAGTGCAGAAGATCTCCACACTGGTTTCAGGCTAATGAACACGTCTTGCTTTTCCGATTCTGACTGACGTCCTCGTCTGTGCTGCCACCTGTAGTTGAAACAGTGCTGCCTAGATAGGTGTAGGTGAAGGAGGCTACTTCCATTACGTTTCTCAAGCTGATGGTCATTGGAGTTTGTAGTGGTTGCTTGGGTATCTTCATCACCTCTGTATTGTCTATATTCAATTGAAGTCCAGTCTTCTCTGCCCTGCCTCTTCTGTTAACTAGCTAGCTTTCGCCTGTAGATCTCCAAGATTGTGCGACATCAAAACCAAGTCGTCGGCGTAATCTAAGTCCTCTAGGTTGAGGTGTCTATTGAGTCTCAGTGTCATTATACCCACGCGCACAACCCCACCACTCGGTCACAACAATTGGCGACGACGATTGTCTGATTGACAGTGTCTATCTCGTTGGATAATCTCAAACCTATTTTACAACTGCAGCAGACTCAAAATGAAGCAGATCAACTGAAATTAATTGAAGCCCTTACTCAAAAGCTTCCAAGTCAAATGCCTTCAGCATCCTATTCAGATAAATATGATAGCATTCCCAATTCTATCAGTGAGTTTAATTATGATCCTATGACTGGTCTCATCTTCGATTCATGGTTTAATCGCTATGAAGATGCCTTTCGTATTGAATGCTCCACACCTGATGATGCAGCCAAAGTTCGTCTGTTATTACGCAAACTTGGTACTGTTGAACATAACAAATATGTCAATTTTAACCTGCCGAAAAATCCCCGTGAGTTATCTTTTGATGAGACAATCGGCGCTTTCTCAGATATTTGGCGAACAATCATCCCTGTTTAATATTCGTTATCAATGTTTTCAATTATCTAAATTACCTGCCGATGATTATCTGACGTATGCTGGTAAAGTAAATCGGGAATGTGAGAGGTTTAAGCTTAACGAAATGACGGCGGACCAATTTAAATGTCTAATCTTTATTTGTGGTTTGCAGAACGCTGAAGATGCCGACATTCGAATCAGAATTCTGTCACGCATAGAACAAGATCCAAAAATGACACTGCAGATGGTGACAGCTGAATGCCAACGCTTGATCAATTTGAAGCATGATGCAGATAGAGTACATCAAAAGTACCAGCCATCTGATTTGGGTTCAATCAATTCAGTGAAAACCCCACACTCTACAGCCAAGCACATGCAACGTAAATCAAAATCGCCAGGCGAACCTCCTAATGTCAAACCTCCTTCAGTTTGTTGGTATTATGGCTCATGGCATTTTGTGAAGTAACCTGGTTAGTGGATTGAATTTTGTCAGGTCTCTCTTACCTGCAGCCTGTTCAGCTTCACTTGGCGATGTGTCGTACAAGTATGTATTGTCTTTGCGCACGCTCTTTTTTTACTTCTGTCCAGTGTTTTATACATTGTACTCATTTCATCTTCTCGTTGTGGCTGCTTGCACTGGTTTGTCTTCTGCTTCACCATCCTCCTCTCTCTACTCTATCAGCTTCCATGTATCCATCGAGATCCATTCCTTTTCTTCTTCCTTCCTAATACGGTTATGCAGATTTCTTTCTACATCTCTTCCAAAGACTCCCAATGTTTTTCCACACAGTTTTCTTCAGGGATGTTCCTCGATAACTCCCATTTTGTCTTCATAGCTGCCGTGAAGATTTCCTTTGTAGTTTTTGTAGAATTTTGATGTTCTCAACTGCAGTCTTGTCCTGTACTGATTGTAATTGTCTGTAGAATTCCTCCTTCTTCTCTTCATCTGAATTATTTGTAGGTCTATTGCGTAGCATTGTATGATTGTGACTTTCCTTCCTTTTGAGTTGAATCTTGCTGTCATGATCCTGATCCTGCAGGAGGAGATTGGTTCTCACTGCATGAGAGAGAGAGAGAGACTTCGATGCTCTTCAAGGGACATCATGATAGACACTCCATAACTCAGTGTGCTGTGCTCGTAGTTGTCGTCTGGGTGACAATATCGAGTAGATTATTGACTCTGAAGTTGACAGATGGGAGAGTCCACTCCCATTCCATCTGCATATTCCTCGCAGACTCCAAGCACTTCTATGCTATACCTTCTCATCTCTTTGGCAATCTGGACAGCCTTGCTAGGTTCATACATGTTGTGGACATTCCATCTTCCCATGTTTACTTTCACTTTCATCGAGAGAAGGGAAGACACATCGGCCAATTGGCTTGCCGAAGACTTTTACCAACTGGCGTCATTTCGCCTCTCCGATTCCAGCGAGGAATAAGTTTGATTTTATTTTTTATATTTTCTTTGTGTTTTGAAGTTTGTTTAGTGGTTGGATTGGTTTTCCGGGATAGGGTTGCTAACCCTATGCCTAACCTTCTCTCTTTATCCGAAATTAGGACCGGCTAGTAGCTAGTGAAGTAGTTAACCAGGCGAGGTTACATTTGCAATACTGCGGTCAATTTTTAGCTGTATCATCGGGAATCTGTAACCACTGGTCCTTAATATTTTCGTAGAATCAACTGTCTAAAATGAGCCCAACTACATGATTCAGACCTGCAGCCAGTAGTTTCGTAGATTACTGGTATGTATGCGTGGTCTCTCTTACCTTTTTGCAGCTTTATCATACTTGAATCGAGGTTGTTGGTATCTCCACGTGTTCAAGGCTATCGTAGTCGCTTCAAGATTTCGATGAATCATCTACCTGATAATTAAGCTGAAATGTGTAAAATAGGTCAATGATTAAGGAATGAATTGATATTAAAGTAAAATATGGGTCAAATCTTGTCAACGAAGTGAAAATTGGTGATTATGATGATAATAGAAGAGAAGTGTACCAAAGTGAACTAAATTTGACAAAATGAATTGTTAAGGCCAAGGTAGAGAAAGTGGTTTCACAAAACGTTTTTGTTCATGTATAGCTAATGCTTCAGCTATGCATAAGTGGTGGAAACGTAAACCTTCGGAGTAGTTCAATTTAACTTTGTAAATTATTTTAAAGGATGAACCTCGAGGTGCTGAGTGTGTCAATTCAACAAGGTGTACTCATATGGATGAAGTCGATTATCACAATGACATCTAGAATAATACGAATGTAACTTCGTTTCTGAGACTGCTTCTCAGTGAACTGTACTATGTACTGTGCATATCCTTCATTAAGTGGTTGGATGTCAAATATGCACCACAAACTATTTGAATTGTTAGATGCTGAGAAAAACTTGCATGCGTTCTGAAGTTGTCTGTTGGCTCAATCGAACTAAAGTAGTTGCCCAAATATGTGATCAACTGTTTTGTTCAGTTTTCAAACTACATGGTGTCGAATACAATTCCTACATATTACAGGTGCGAAATACACACCAAATAGAAACCGTTTTCCACCTGAAAAATATATTTTCTCCCCATTTTGTGTCGAACATATTTTTGTCACGCTGGCCCTTTATGGTGATTTGAAAAACAAAATAATCCCCCTACGCAAAAACTCGTCAATGAAGCCTGTTGTCTAATGTGACACGATTCGGACGTTCAAATCTGTAATATACAATCTAAAGAGTAGTTTCAAGGGAGGGGTTTTGTTGGCTTTAACTGTCAACAACAGTCATAGAAGTTTAAGGACTTATGTACGACAGTGTGCACAGAAAGGAAGTTGATGGTGAGCGGTAGTTCTTTACGTTATAAACATACAAGAGACCGGTATTTTTTATTTGCGCATCTTGTCTTTAAGTAAATAATAATAGGAGTGGCATTGGTACTTACACTTACAACTTTGTCACTGGTTCCTTAAATTTCTCAAAAGCATACATCTTCTTTAAGTCAAATCAATAATCCAGAACAACTAATTATTCAAGAAATTTGCAGACTTTTGTATTCGGTCTGGTGACTGATTTTGAGTTACGTGTACAACGATTTGTAGCATCCCGTGAAAGAGAGTTTTGAAAATTGAACCTCTATACACAGCTGAAATTAGTGACCTTGAATATATGCCTGGATCTAGAAGTTATGAAGTTTCTTAATGTTGACCCAATATTGACTACCGACCATCAACCAACTTGTCCCCCTCTATATAACCTGAAGATTTCTCACTCATAGGTTCCATAACAAATAAACTGCATTAAAACCACAGTCAAAAGGTTGCAAAGTAAAAATTGAAACTCAGTTAACTTTGCTAGTATTACTCTTATCATTCAGTACAATCTCATGGCCAACAATTGTCGCGACTATGTAGTATAGACAGTGTCCAGTTATCACGTTTTCTCAGTGACACCGAGATCGCTTGGTGATGTGATGTACATTGGGTTACGGGAAAAATATTTCTCCCGGTTGAAATGCTGAAGAAAGTGGCCAACCAAAAAAAATACATTCATAGCATGATGAGAATGCATCGGTTAACTTATCGATACTTAGACCAGATGGTTATTCGAAACCGAATTCTAGTGTTGCTGAGACTCGTTGGTGACTTTCAGACTTGGGATATAGAACTCTATTCATTTACAAGTACTAGCCCATCTGTATTCTGCTTCTGAAATACAAATATGTTATATCGTAACACTACACCTATGTTACACTACTAAATATCGTGTATATCCAATCGCGTCGTTATTAATTCCATAACTTAAAATGTAGCCAAATTGGGAAACGTGCAATGAATGCGTTGAAGATCGTCAGTATAAAAATATGCCAATTCTTCAAGTAAGTATTAAATTTACCTGAGCTCGATTTCTGCCTAGCATATTAGTGCATCACTGAAGCTTTCATTTTATTTAGTGTCAAAATGTATGAGGCAAGACTGAACTATGGTGTATAAGGAAAGTGAATTCGAATTTGATTTCGTGGTCGTAATCCTTACTAAACGAAATAACACCCAACTATTTGAATTCTTAAATTGTAAATAATTTCGTCAGTTAATCTTCGCATCAATAGCGTGTTATAAGTACAGTGTACTAGGCATGGAAAATGTGCGACAAGAAATAGCAGAACTTTCGAACCCATATGTCCAATCAATGACGGGATAATACAAGCAACAACGTAAAAAACTACACCCATTACACAAGAATTGGCTATCGTGACTCGGTAGCCTAGTGAGTAAGGCTCTGACGTTTGAAGCAATTGGTCAAGGGTTCAAGTTCTAGTGGAGATAACATTGCTCACTGGGAGACATTTGCATCCAGCTAACAAGTCCGAAGTAGGACCCATCATTATCATACTACTGAAGACTACAAAAAAGAACCGCAGAATCATGTGACTCCTAGTTTATTCAGGTAGTGGTGAATAATCAGCATGCATGGTGATAACTTTCATGCTTCATCAGGTGAAAGTGTCTTCAAAAAGGTGGCGAAATTCAACAGAGTATGGGTATCATAGGATGGTTGTATAATTTATAGTGTAAAACACAATTTAATGCATAGATGATGATGTTATGAAGGTACGAGAACACGTAGTAAGGCGCATTAACTAATGTCTTTTGGTGCGCATAAAGAGGGCAGATTTACATCCACACATTCCAAACTATCGCAACTTGAAAGGCCCGGTGATAGCATTTTGGGCTCCAAAGGAAAACAATGAAAGAAACCTAAGGTTCTCCCATGGTTCCAAAATATGTCTAGATGATGAGTGTTAACTAACACATTTCGCCCAAGATAATTTCCATTGTATGTGTATCACACAGTGAAACAGTATTATTTAATAATGACGTTTCGAGTAGAATTTATTGCTGAAAATCACGTCAAGATATTCTTGATTCAATTACACTGCCCGAATTCTACTGTGATATAAATTTCTCCAAAGATATTTTTGTGAACCAGATTCAAACATGCAGAAATAAACTAACTTTTCCACATTTAAGCAGAAATAAAGTATAATACACTCATAATCTAGTCTACCATCCTCCTAATTAAGTCAATAAATAAGACAGTCAGAAAAAGAAAATTACTGTGTAACTTGTCTAGAAAATGAGAATTAAAAAACTGTCTTAAAAAGAATCGGGTACAGAAAGCAATTTTATAAAAAGATTCATATAAAGCTAGCACTATAAAATAGTTAGCGTAAAATTGTCTAACAAGAAAATAAATATTATATGATAATCATGATGATTAGTTATTAGGTCACAGCCAGTCTGTAGGTTTTAAATCACTTTAACATCGTTGACGCATCTCTCGTAATTTCGCTTTCCGTTCACGCATTGCAAGTTTTAATGCTTCTTTTTTTTCATCTGGATCCCAACCACAAGCTACAGATGTAATATTTTCGGAACTAGCGGGCTCTTGTTTTAATGCACAGGCACTGTGTTTTCCAATTGGACGATGAACGAAACAAAAGGCACGTTTACACCCTGAACATTTACTGGCTGATAGGGATACACAATCACTATCAGCCAGTAATTGACATTTCGATTCTGTGCATAAGCGTTGCATAAGTTTTATCATTCCTTCCATATCATTAGGATGAACTTCATCAAGTTTAGCTGAGGCAGTTTTTGCTTTAATAGTTGGATTAGTAGTGTTTCCTACTGATCTTGTCTGGAGATGAAATTGAGGGGAAAAAATTATCATTTACTGCATGTTCAGTGCTGCACATCTATCTAGAGAGAAAACCTAATCAATTGAGAATAATATAGGAGACCTGATATAAATAAGGACAATAAATTGTGTCTGAACGTTATCCAGCAAGCGATACTGTTTCATTGTGTGACAGACTAAAATGGAAGATGAGAATAAAAAATTCGACTAAACTAGCTTAACAAGTGAATCTGTGTTTACTCTTTTACAGCAACAAGTTGGAACAAGACAACAGATGTACAGCTATTTCAACCAATCATTTTGTTGCCAATGTTTATAGGTACTGTCTTCCTACACTAAAATAAGATGCATGTGATCAACCATAATATGGCAAAAAGAAAGCATCATTGTCACGATTACAAATCTGGTAAACACATTGCATCATTTTGAACATAGGAACCGAGTGGCATGAAACCTCAAAAAACAGTATATCCACCGACCACTACACCACTCCTGTTTGGTAACACACTATCGAAATGGAAGATGGCGTTATTTATGTAACGATCCAAAATGTCACATCAGCATGTCAAGGTAAGGAAGCACCACGTTCATTGATGGATGAGAAAGTAATCAAAAGTAATTGAATGTCATAAAAAGCAGGGACAAAACAATAAAGAAATGCAGTATGACAATGAAGACTCAGATAATGCATGCGTGCATCAGTGCCACTGAACTCTATAAGCTACAGTCTCCAAGTATCGAATTTGATTGACACAGACACAAATCGAGTCGTCCGTATTTCCCTAAACGGCTCATACCAGCAGTCAGAGACTTCGTAAATTGATGACACGCTTTAGTTTGGATGCCTTTGATATAATCTAGTTAACATTCATAGACGGTGTGACTAGAGATGCGTAATTCATTTCCCAATCATCGAAGTCAATGAAGATTTACAACATCTCCAAATGACTTACCTAAATGGTGCCCTCATATACCAACTGAGCATAGATGAGCCTCACTACCTCCTGTTTCCTGCCGCCAGTAAGGTGCATACACACACCAGCCCGTACCACCACGTGATTGGAGTCCAAACAATTACTCCAGAAAGAGCGGCAATCCTCCGATGATGGTTGGCTTACAGTAATATGATCTGTCTGTGTCCATCGTTACTTTGAAGTCGGTGGACGCCATGTAAGACAGTGTCTCTCTCCTTGTGCTTAAAGTTAGTGCTGGTCAGAAATGTGACTGTCAAAACAAAATTGCGAGAGACGATCACCACTGTCCGTTCGCTGGCATCGGATTCCGTAAATAACCCCAAGATGCCTTCTGATCGGCTCAGCTCACCTTACCTACTTGAGCGTTAAACTCACATGACATTATAACTACATCTGGTTGTTTTGCTTTCTGTAGCAAATTTTACAGCCTTTATAGAATTCATGCTTTGCATCATCCGAACTACAGTCGGTGGGTGAGTAGGGGAAGATTACGAATAGGCATTACCTAGCCTAACGATCCTTCCTAGTCCTTACAGATCCATTCAGTCAAACAGCATATGAAAGGCTCTTGAGAAGCGCACTTTCTGCTCCACAGTTCAATGCTATACCCACACCAACCAGCGAGTCCACGACAGCTAGTCACTGGGTCCCCTGGTACTCTTAAGGTGCATTTTGCAGATTCCCTACTACGGACAGATGAGGTCAATTTAATAACCACACTCGGGTCCTGTATGTCTCACAGACAGCATACATCCATGGTTCGTGATTCTAGAGTTGTAGTGAGTGATCCTTCCTGGCCGATTTGGCATAGAGTTTGGACGTTGAAAGCTCTTACATGAAATCGATGGAGAGTCTTACGAGATTAAAAATAAAGTTTTGATGGCTTTCATCGTTCATAATGGTTGCAGAGTGAGAGGTTGGGTAAGGTGTAAGAGGCTTGGTATCAGGAAGTGAGAGTGAAGAGAACAGAGTTGAGGAGGGGAGGTTATGTTTGATTAGGTCTTGTGTACTACTGGAAGCGTGCAGGTAGTTGACATTTCCCGGCTTCCCACACCATGGAAAGCTATTTCTTCTTAAGGTATCTGAAAGAGAAAAGATGTATGTGACGTAGAGTCCATGGAACGTCTGCTTGAGGACTGTCACAAGAGGCCTTTTGCGGGTTGTTGTTTTGAAGTTTGTTTGTTCTAAAACAGATAGAGAAAACATATACAGCTGACACTAAAAGAACATCAATGAAAAGGATGGGACCATGATAACCACTCAAGACAGGAAGTTGAGCAAGACACCTTGAAATACAGATCAACAGGTACACATCAACGATTCAGTTGCCCAGCTATCAGCCGATCCGTACCCTGATGGGACACCGATGTCAATCCTCGAAGTCTCCCCGAAGTTGAAAAAGCTGTTTAAAACCTGAAACAACCCAAAGCAACAGGACCTGACGGTTTTTCAATAGGAAATTTTAAGGGAGGTAGGAAATTACTGGTAGAGTAACGGACGCACTAGAACTCACCAACCTCACTGATCATCCAAGCTCATAAGAGTGAAGAGAAGTCTTTCTGTGAAAAACACAGTGGGGTGTTTCACTAACGTCATGCTCAAGATCCTTGAGTCCATAGTTATTCAACGCCTAACCGGAGCTCGATGACAACAAACTCCAGAAAACCAGGCAGCTTTTAGAACTGGATGACGATGTGTGGATTCGATTTTCATGCTTCGTCAGGCTCTTGAATACACGCATACTTGCCGGCAGCAGATGCCTGGCATATTTATTGACCTGAAGGAGGCATTTAACGCTGTCGACCATGAGATATTATGGTAGTGTTTGAGCATGAAAGGAGCACCAAAGAAGTATATAGTGCTAATCAAGGATCTTTACTTGATCTGTCACGGAAGCCCGCTCTCACTGTTCCTGTCGAACTTTTTCACGGATATATTGGTGGAAATAACCTCAGGTAGCTTCAATTTTATGAAGATTGACCTATTCCCTGGAGAGCATGTGACTGACTTGGAGTGCACAGACTAAACTACCTAGTTAGGCGAAGGCGCTGACGAACTTCAGGATCTTTTCAATGAATCGTTAGACAGAATTATGACATACGTTTCGAATCTGTTGAATGAAAGATGATGCTTCAAGAGTGGTCCAGACCAACTTGTGCAATGGGGAAAGGAGTGGTAGAGTACGTTGATCATTTCACTTACTCAGGAATTTGCATCAGTCAAAGGTCAACTTAGGACCTGATACTACTGTGTGGTGGTCCAAGTTGCTACACCTAATATCAACACATCAAACCAGAAGTACTAAGATGATGGACATAGAAATATAAGAGAAAACAGTCAAAAGTGGTAAAAAGTCATCGAAAGGGAGGAAACAGGAGCGAGACAATAATGAAATTTGGTATGATGATGAAGATAATATGTTGATACATCTGCGCCAATGACATCGATTCTGCACGGTATCACCTAGATCCTCCCAACCACTGGTTTCTGTTATCACGTGGACCCCAATCGCTAAGTCTGCGCTTACCTATGCTATTCAGACCACTTGTCAAAGAGTGATGAAATTTTTAAATCTTGTCGTCTCTATTAATTTTTCAGCCTGAATCTACTTCAGCTAACATCGTGAGACAAGGCAGACGGTGACTAGGCATGCGCAATACATATCCCAGCCATTCCATTGGATGAAGGTTCATAACCTCATCAACTGACATTCCTCCTCTGCCCAATACTCTGCGTCTGATATCTACTCAACTAACGCTGTGGCAGCAAGACACGAGGCTAATGCTACAAAGGCAAAGCTGGTCAAACACCTGAAGTCTCCCCATGTCTATTCACCGAACAATGTGGATACTTATACGGATTGATCATCTACATACAATGATAGTACCGTTTCGGGAAAAGAATGAAATACCGTTAAGTGCCAATAAATATAATTTCAATTAAAGCGGCTAAAATAAGCGACGAACAGAAAGGAAAACCATGGAGAAATAAATTGATACTCTGCGAGTTAACTTTAATATATCATTAACTAAAATTAATTCTAGAGGGTCAGATATCCCCCAACAATTTACACTATGAAGAAAGCTACTTTTAGTTTGACTCATAACGAACCGAATATTTCATAACAATAAGATTGAAAATAACAACTGGTTCAGCTGATATCGTTTGTTACGTTATTACGAAAGCCGATTAAATCAGGATAGACTATGTTCCCTGAGAAAATATTGCAAGAAGTAGACAAGTGCAACAGGGTTGATCCCTAGAAGTAAAATGAACCTGAGACTCATTGGTTTAAGAAGTTGAGTGAGTCACGGGTTCGAACACCGGTCCATTTACCGAAGTTTAGGTAGGAGTAGAACAAAATAGCAAATGAGAGAGTAAAAGCTTATTAATATCGCCTTTCAAAGACGGAAAACAAAACTATCGTATCCAAAAGTTTACAAAAATCATTTACTATGAAAAAAACTAAGATATCCACAGAAATATTCGATTAATAATAAGACTCAAAAAAGTAAGCGTTCATCCTCTTATCGTAGCTATAATTGGTTAACTTTTGTGTTATGATTATAGTAAAAGTAGAACCTGTGATGTATTCTAACAGTAAATGTAGCTAGCCGATAATTTTAGACCAATTCCTTAGCGACTGAAGTGAAACAAAATCTGGTCAACAGTCGGACCTCGTAGCTCAGTTGGTAAAGCACCGGGCTGGAAACCCGAAATTCACCGCGATCCAGATTTTCATTTCACTTTCAATCATCACGCAGTATTAAGAAACACACTAAGCAAACTTGTACATATTCGAGCTGTAGGTAATGAATGACACCCATTTAACAAAGTTTAATCATACCTCCAGGATGTCCAAATTTTGACAGATGGAGCAGTGTTCCAACCCATAACCGACTGGTTGAAAGTCAACCGCTTAAACCAGTAAGCAACAACCCAACCCTTTGAGATACTGGACGTTTATATGAGATTCTGTAAAGCTTTGTGTCTTAACTTCATTGACCATTCATATGGTGAATAAAATTGAGGCTAAGGCTGCATTTCAGGTGTATATCTCAGAAAACTTTCATGTCAGGCGGCATATGTTTTAAGGAATTCATGGGAGAGAAGTTAGTCAATAAGGCGGTAATCAGCTACACTAAAAAAATAAACTTATTATTTATTAACTAAAGTCTTATCGACTTACATTTGACTTATCCCGGTTACGACTACGACTACGTGAGTGAACGATTTCCGACTTGCGTTGTTGTTGACCTTTTAAAGGTGGTAATCCTAAACGCTGACGTTTTTTAGCCTCCATGTACAGTTGGTGTTGTTTCAGTCTAGCTTTCAGTTCATCTTCTTTTCTTTTCTGTTGAACACCTGCACGACAAATTGCTTCGTGTCCACATTGACTTACTGGAGCAATATGTTCACTACACCAAGGGCAAAGCCAATAATCCTCAGGAACTGTTTGCATGAAGCTATCAACTTTAACAATCTTCTTTTTGTTATGCTCAGCTTGTTTATTTCGTTGTCTTTCTTTGCGTATACGCCTAGCACGTTTTCGACCAATCTAAATTATCACACATACACATGGTGAGAAAAACAAACGACAAACTGAAACATCGATATCATACAAAGTTTGTCTGACTGAATAATAAGTAGCATGTCCTCAAAGTCTATGAGGGAAACTTCTATCCAACAAAGAAACAGGTTAACAACCGTTTACAGATTTGTTAACTAGTTCATGAGCCACATGTATCGTGCAACAGTTTATGATATTAGCCTAACTACTTAAAACCCGATACATGTGACAGGATTTAAATTCACCATCCACAGTACCAATTTTCAAAACGATTGGCTTAACTATCATGTCAATCCATGATGAATCCCAAACGGAAATCAATGAATAAATCCCCATAACCCTCCAAACTGAAAATTTTAAATGTCATTGGTGGAACTAAACTTAAGTGACAGGGAACCTTGAGGACAACTAATCAGGTGGAAAATGATTCACTCAAGTGATTGGTACCGTGTTGTCGATGCAGCACGAAACCTTGATGAGTTATGATGAAGATTACGTTGTGAGTGAAATTTTTTGGAACAGGTAATAAGGTTGAAATATGTGAATGTCTAGTTCAGAAACTTGAATATAAACCTAAGAAGATGACTTAAACACGAACGGGCAAACTATAAATTAACCAATGTATGTATACATACACTTTTCTTGACAAACGGCAGATTCTTGGTAGATACGACCGAAATACGAAGAAAGGACATTTCCAGTGGATAAATGACTAAGCAGAAAGATCCATCCTAGCAGTTATGCGAAAATACGTGGCATTGGGTACCACAATATACACAGTGTCTGAAATAGGTTACCCCAATCGAGCTGTTGTTCACAAAAAGCACTTCATGAATCAGACAACTGGAGTGTACACAATTATTATAATTATTATTAATCCCTTGGGTTCCTTGTCGAACATAGGGCTTCAGTAGCAAGTCGCCATTTCACTCCCTTCTCTGCAGTCTTTTGAACCTGGCTACACCATTGCACACAAACTTTCATTTCTTCCCCACATGATCTCCTCCATATCATCTTCACCTCGGACACCCAGCTCGTCGTTTCCCACTTGACTTCCACTTGGGGGCTTGGCCTGACACAGGATGTCCCCAATCGGGTTTCTCAGTGTATACCCAATCCAACCCATCTCCACTTTCTTCTGCATATTTGATGGGCGATCGGTTAATGGTTGGTTCGTTGCCAGCCAGCTAGAGTGCCTCGTTGCTTATTCTTATTATTCTGGTCATCTAATCTTCAGTATCGAGTGTAGGCAGCAGCTGTTGATGAATGTCTGTAGTTTGCTGGAAATGCTTTTCGTGACGCGCCAAGTCTCCCAACCATCACATAGAAACACTGACTCACTTGACTGAATCAGTGTTGAAAATTCAGATCTTATTCACGCTTTATGCTGAGTGCAGTAGATCTCCACACTGATTTCAGATTAATGAAAGCCTTTCTCGCTCTTCCGATCCCGGCTGCTGTGAAATCCTCATCTGTGCCTGTGCCGCCGCCTGTAGTTGAAACGATGCTGTCTTGACTAGGTAGGTGAAGAAGACTACTTCCTTCAGGTTTCTACCGTTCATCGTGATTGGTACTTGTTGTTGATGCTGTTGTTCGTTAGGTATCTTCATCACCTCTGTCTTCTCTACGTTCACCTGAACGAAGTCCCGTCTTCACTGCTCTGCCTCACCTCTTCTGCCAACTTGTTGGTTTTCGTCTGTAAATCTTCCAGTTTGTGCGACAAGACATTCGACATAAATCATCGCCGGCGGCGAAATCGAAATCTTCTTCTGGGGTATTTTCAGCGGTCCAGCCGGCATATGTCCATCTTCTCGCTCCTCACGGTTTGCTGCATGATCCAGTCGACCACAATCAGGACAATCATCGGTGATAGTAGGCAACAACCTTGTCTTACTCCTGTCCCCTATCTTCATTTCAAAGTCATCACTGAGCCTCCCATTGCTGTGTGAATCACTTGGTATGCAGTATCATATAGCACATAGCTACTGAATGAGGTTGATAAAGACTAGTGGGACTTCGTAGTGTTGAATCAACTGCCGAATTACTTGGAGTGCACACAAACAACTAAGAAAATGTATGGAGTCGTCTTACAAAGTTCTTAAGACCTTTAACGTGATCATGAAAAGAAATTTCCCAAATGTTATTTAAATATTTTCTCATATGGCCTGGCGGCAATGAGCACAATGGTTACCAAGATGATAAATCCCACTTTCAATCTAAATATCTTTATTTCTCAGGTAAAGTAGATTTATCCTTAATTATAACTCTGTCCTTCATATTTTTTGATTCAGATTGATCAGTGTATAGTAAGACGTGATTGACTGTCACTAAAGTTTAGTTCTACTACGTTACCTTATACAACATTTTTAGTGCAAGTAACTGAAAATCACATCTAAATGTTGGTGAAATCACTACAGATTTTAAAAAACTACTGGAAAGTAGAAACCGTTGAAATATATCGAATTAAAATCTCCATTTACGTTCAAATCCAGCAGCCTAGAAAACAGCTTCTGGAAAAATTGCCCTCAAGTTGAAAGTCGTAAATATATGAAGATTTATTTAAAATAAATGGATCGAAATGGTCTTCTTTCAGGCTAAAAAAAAGTTGATGAGTTGCTGATAGATATTCAAAAAATGTTTGTAAAGCCTAGATCGACGTTTGCAAGGTGGAAAAGTGATGCAGTGATAAACCAATGTAACTCCAATTGTAGGTGGTCCCCCCCAGTTTGACTGCTTCCAACTGACAATAATTGCCAGTGAAATTTCACCTTCTAGTAAACCTATACTCAAGCACAGCGAGCAATACAGAGACATGAATCAATGAGTTTACACACAAACAATGAACTGTACTTCATTATATAATTTCCAGCTACGGAATTACAAGAATACCATTGCATAGAATAAAATAATTAGTAGTAATAGGAACGAAATATTCCGCCGGAACAAATGAACAAGATTATTCAAACTGTATAATCTTAAACTGATCAACCAATGATTCCAATCATCTGGTAACCCTTCCCCCGCCCGAGTCTCTAGTTTTCAATGTTTATAAATTTGAGTCATATAAAGTTTATATGCACGCGCACACACACACACACAGACCACATGACTTCACTTGGTAAACAAAACTTTTTGTATTTTACTTCTATTATTCCACATTGGTGTAGATGGTGGTAGAGTACACACAAAACATATGAAAACGCTACATCAGCCAATGTATGTCAACAATCTCACGTAAACATACACATTCCTTACATGAAATTTCACCTTTCACCTTCAAATTCCTGACTTCATGAAACTTATTAAAGACTCACAGAACATAACTGTTTCTCACCACTCCGGCAACCAAGTTGACATGCCGAAATACCGAAATGAGTATGTGATAGAACATTAAAAATCTACCAGTCAACGCATTGTACAGTTAATACCTATAAACCAAGAGCCAATGACAACCTCGCCTGGTGTACTAGTTACTAGACAGTCCTAATTTCGGATAAAGAGAGAAGGTTAGGCATAGGGTTAGCAACTCTATCCCGGAAAACCAATCCAACCACTAAACAAACTTCAAAACACAAAGAAAATATAAAAAATAAAATCAAACTTATTCCTCGCTGGAATCGGAGAGGCGAAATGACGCCAGTTGGTAAAAGTCTTCGGCAAGCCAATTGGCCGATGTGTCTTCCCTTCTCTCGATGAAAGTGAAAGTAAACATGGGAAGATGGAATGTCCACAACATGTATGAACCTAGCAAGGCTGTCCAGATTGCCAAAGAGATGAGAAGGTATAGCATAGAAGTGCTTGGAGTCTGCGAGGAATATGCAGATGGAATGGGAGTGGACTCTCCCATCTGTCAACTTCAGAGTCAATAATCTACTCCGATATTGTCACCCAGACGACAACTACGAGCACAGCACACTGAGTTATGGAGTGTCTATCATGATGTCCCTTGAAGAGCATCGAAGTCTCTCTTTCTCTCTCATGCAGTGAGAACCAATCTCCTCCTGCAGGTTCAGGACCATCACAGCAAGATTCAACTCAAAAGGAAGGAAAGTCACAATCATACAATGCTACGCAATAGACCTACAAATAATTCAGATGAAGAGAAGAAGGAGGAATTCTACAGACAATTACAATCAGTACAGGACAAGACTGCAGTTGAGAACATCAAAATTCTAATGGGCGACATGAATGCCAAACTGGGAGGGAGCAGACAACACAGGAAGAGAACTTATCATACATCGAGAAGCGCTCGGTGAAATGAAGAACGAGAATGGAGAACTGTTTGCAGAATTCTGCGCATTCAGCGATTTGGTGATTGGAGTGGGGCAGTGTGTACGAACACAAGGATTTCACCAGACACCAGGACACACTACACTAGAAATCAGATCGACTTCATCTCAAAGTGAAGAAAGTGGAGACACAGCCAACCAACTGGACACAAGATCAGATCACGAAGAGGAGTAGATGTAGGTTCACACCACTCACTCCACTATCTAGTGCAAGGAACCTACCTTCAAAATCAAGTTGAAAGCCTTCACTTCACAGAAGTTGGTAATAGACCACAGTTCGAGTTGAACACCCAGAACAGAGACCGAAGTGAAGGACGAAACTACAGGTGACATCTTCACATCAGTCAGGTATCAGGGAAAAAGTGGGAGACATTGAGCAAGATCCGTGAAGAAAGGTGTGTGGAAGAAGACTGGAACTCTGTGAAAGAGAGGTGGAAAGGAACCTGCATAACGGTGTTAGAAAGGAAGAAGAAGAAGAAGCAAGTCGGGACAAGAAATGGATCTTGATGGACACATGGAAGCTGATAGAGGAGGGGGAAGAAGATGAACTACTGCAATGCAGTGCAGGGATGAATAACGAAAAGACGAACTGAGTACAACATATAGAACATTACACTGGATGAAGAAGTGAAGAAGAGTGTGCGGAAAGACAAGAGATACTTGTACGACACACTGGCAAGTGAAGCAGAACAGGCTGCT